CCCCAAAACCCCAAAACCCCAAAACCCCACCTCAAATCTCCTTCTTGAATTTATGTAATATGTTTATATCACCATAAAACTCTAGATATTATTTCCCTTCTTACCTCACATACACTTATCCAACCTAAAAACTCTCTTTTTCCAAATTGAGCATCATAGCATACTCAGGCCCAATATCCTCTAAATTCGCCATGACTGCACTATGGGCTACCATCCCAAAGATCTCCTTAAGATTAAGCACTTTCTTCACAGAAATCTCTGTAAAATAAGCTCCGTATTTCACTGCCAATTTCATTCCTCTCTCAAAAGCCACTTCTCTGCTACCTTCACAGTCCCTAAAATTGTTAAAAATTGTCAATTACGTCTTGTTGCCTAAGAGAACTATCTCAGGCCAAAATTTGCCCTTTCTGAGTACTAAATTTTTGGTTAGAATTTTTAGGTGAAAATCGTTAACCCCTATAAAGGAATTTTGGAATTTTTGGGATTTTTGGGGATTTACATTGGAGGATTTGGGAAGCTTGGTGGAAGGAAAGGAGGCTGGTGATGTCTAGGTGTGAGAGGAAGGGTACCGTAGAGGAGGAAGATTATTTTGAAGTTTGTTTGGGGTGTTGAGCAGGTGATCTATGAGGGGTTTGAGGGATGCAGAGAGGGAAGAAGATATTATATTTTTCCTAAATTAGAATTTTGAAATTTTCTTTAAGCTAAATTTATTCTAATAAAACCTAAATCTTTTCACTCGTTTTAATTATTTTTCGAAGCAAAATGAATATTTCACTACAAATCTCTTTCTCTCCAACCTTTAAATCCTGAAAACTTAAAATTATTCCAAAAACATCAGTTTCCGACTTTCTGACAAAAATTAATCCAAAACCTACAAATTCTCAACACAACCCCCAAAACTTTATCAATAAAATCCCCAAAAAATCCAAAATCCTTCTCCCAAAATCCCTAATTTCCTTCATCTAAAATCCCAGAATCCTAACTCAAGACCCCTATTCTCCCAAAGCGCCTACTCCAAACTTCAAACAGCATTTAGGCTATATCCGAGAAGCCTGCTTGTTCTTAAGATTAAGAGATGCTCACTGCAGGAAGAACAGAGTTTATTAGATGCTTGGAATTTTTGTACCTTAAATTTGACTTTTATTCATGAAGAAACTTTCTCCATCCATTTGCTCTTTATTGATAAGTCTTCTAGAATTAGTGTAGTTTATGCTCAAATTTTGGCTCATAGCAATAATGAAAAATTCTGAAGCTTGGTAGAATTCTTTTGACTATCTATAACACCCTAACCTCAATCTCCGCTCTAATCTGCCTCTTAAAAACATGTCTTACTCTTATCAATAGCCAATTTCTTAAACTCCATATGCTTTAATTTTCCTCTTTCCAGGTTCATAATTCTTATCTGCACCTAAATCAGCATCTATTCAGCCAAATATACTTACCTTGCAAGACTTTAGTGTACAAGCTGTACTTGCCAACTTTGGAACCTCCGAGAATACCTGAAATATGAGAGGGTTAAAGTAGAGTTAGGAGTGCGAATAGGAGGGTTTAAATGAGTTTAGGAGGAGAAATTGGACTATGTGGTAGGTGGAAAAGGGCATTTTTACCTGTTTTTAGGCTGATTTGATGTACACGAAGTTTCTCCATTTCTTATTCTGGGTGAAAATTTATGATATAATAATCTCAATTTTAGTTCTCCAACCCGGGGTTTTGGGGTTTTGGGGTTTTGGGGTTTTGGGG